AGTAACCATCGCTGAGTCTTACTAGATGTGGAGCCTCTTTGAGGAGGTGTTCTTGAAGCTTTTAACTGGGGCTTTCCTTCTGGGAGGAGGGCCTTTACAGGTATCTGCTCTCTTTATAGCAGACAAAAGTTGCTGCCTGTCTTGCGAAGCCTAGATGTTTTAGACTGTTGGTCATTACAGTATTGTGTGCACAAAGTGTTTTTGTGACGGAGCAGAGCATGCACATCACCATTTTGCAAAGTAGCCAAGAATCCTGAGTAAGGCTTTCATTGACTGCTAATCTGGAGCAAAGAAATTGTACCTTTCCATTGACTGCTGAGCTGCCTTGGAGAGGCTGAGATGTGACTCTTTGCTTCTCCTTTTAGTTCCTTAACTCTACCAACAAGGTCTGAAGAAATGCCTTAATTTGAGGCATCGGTTTTGATAGCAAGACCTTGTATTCTTCCTTGACTTAAATCTGATAACTTTACCAGAAGACTGCAAAGTTGTAGACTTGAGAGTGGGGGGGGCGGGGAAGACGGGATTCAGAAATCAGTAGGAGGCAGAGATGATTCTTTGCTTTTACATGTACTTCCTACCTTTTCTCTTTTAACTGTGTCTAGTTCTTGGCTGCTGTTGTAAGTGTCTCCCTTGGGCTGTAGGACTGTGCTACTGCAGAAGAATTATGTATTGTAAATACATAACAGTATTGGATTATATCAAACAAGTACAGTTTTTTGTAGCCTAATGGCACCTGTAAAAACCTGGGACAGGAGTGGAGAAGTACTTGGATCAAACAAATGCCATGCCTGATTCTTATGTTGTTTTATATCTGCTGAGAGTAGTGGCAGAGGTTGGTAATCTATGCCTCAGAAGCTTAAATGCTGCTTCTGGAAAGCATTGGAAGAGTATTATAGACCTCAGCTTCTCTGTAAAGTAAATGCCATTGTCTGTGATACACTAGTGCTGCATTAACTGGAGATTAGGGTCCCTTATTGTCCTAATTGTCCTTCCTTCCCAGGCTTACACTTGCACTGAAGTTGGTTAATCCAAAAGTGTATCTTGCACTCGAAGTGGTAATTGGTTTTATTGCCTTCTGTGCTTTTGCGTCATCTTTTAGTCTGACTTAGACCACTGGTCCCAGCTGCGTTTGTAAAAACTTCCTGCAGCACTGACAGGGTTTTCAAACAGTATCCGTGGAAAGTCCAGAGCATGACAGAAAACTACTTATTGAGACTTTCAGTGCAAACAGGGGATACAACAGCAGGTGATGGTGTATTCACATAATAATCACTGTGTTCTGGTGTGTATAGGTGCTTGTGGTCCTTTGACAGCATTTCTGATCGCTTACATGTATTCCTAGGACAATATCCTCAGCAGGTTGCGTATGTCGGCTAGATGGTGGTCCCTCTAGGCAAACAGTTTGTGTGTGGTTAGATTTTAAGAAGCCAGTTGCTAGATTGGGGATAACCAGACCATAGGATGCTGGGGTTTGTGCTGATCATCAGTAGTGTGTTATTTTTCTTGCATGTTTTCTCTGAGCTCTGGTGGATAAGAATTACTTCTTATGATGGCTAGGTGAGTGTTGCTAATGTGCTTAGATGGCTTCCAGGGGGCATGGAAAAAGGTAGCTTGAGAAAGTGAACTATTTTCACTACGTTCTGTCTGTCTGCCAGTCCTATATGTATTTGAGCAACTTCTACCTCGTTGGACTACAGAAGGACCAAGTCAGAGGCCTTGGTTGTATTAAATTTCTAGACCCAGTTAGAACATGGAAAAAGCACATTTAAAGCTGTTATCTATTTTTGCACTACCTCTGTATTAGCATCTTGTAACTTTTCACATTTAGGTGGCCTCTATATCCATCTGGAGGAAGGAGTGACTTTGAGGAAATTGTTCCTGGAACAACATCTAACATTTTTAGACAATGACTGCATAGTAGGCTTCTTGTGCCTGACAGTTTCCCAGACAAATGAAGGCAGTTTCAAGGCCCGCTATATATTTTAACTTTTTAACATGCAGAGACTTGGAGAAGTGTATGTACATCCCTGTGTGGAAGAGGCTTATTGCCAAAAGATTAGCAGCACACTTTGCTTATAACTAGGTATTTTGAGTCTGTTAATCCTAGCATCATCCTCATTTGGACTTTGAAGCCTGTGATGATAGGGCATGAAACACTTGGCTTCTGATGTGTGTGGTGCTACTTACGCATATTAGAGAGGGACCTATCAACTGAAGTATAACTACTGGACCCCCTGTTGTGGCAGAAAGCTCCATAAATAAACAGCAGGTAGGTGTGTGCTTATGCTAGGAGTGTGCAAAAAAAGGAGCTGTCTGCAGAAGTTGCAACTGCAGAGCAAAAATTGCAAGGGAACTGGGCTGAAAAGGAGTGTTTCTGCATTGTCGGCGTCAGGCAGAACCTCAATGACATCCCGGGTGTTTTTGTGTTAAGTCCTTCTCCGACAATAGCAAGGCACTGTAGCAGGGTGCTCCCTTCCTTTCCTACCCTGAAGTAGCCTTTGCTAGTGGCTGTATTCCACAGATGTCCTTGACAGCATTGGTAGAGAAGTTGAGCATTTTCCCTGTGTGCTGGGGGAGGGTTTTATCGTTCAGAGGGTACAGGGAGGTTCCCCTTGCTGCTCCTTGTGCCATATGTAGGCTTGGTGTAAATGGAAGTTGTTCTGGGACTCGTGAGTTGACAGCCTTCATTAAGGTCAGTGTTTTGAGATGTCTGAAATCAAGCAACTCACTCACGATGTTGACACTGGGTGAAGAGGTCTGGTTCCTCAGTTATGAAGTGCTGAAGTGAATGGAGTCCCTGGAAACCTTGAAACCTCTGAAAATCCATTTTGTTTTGGTACATATAACTCTTTAAGTCTGAATGGTTTTAGTCCAGCTTTTGCACAAAATGAGGAGCAGGAAAAAGAATTTCAGTGAGTCTTACATGGTTGATTTAAAAAAAAACCAAAAAAAACAAAAACCAAAAACAAACGAACTAACAACCAAATGTAAAACTCCCTGAACTACTTCGTACTCTTGGAACCAGCAGCATCACATCTAGCGAACCTTGGTCAAGAATGAGATCCCTGAAAATAGTATAAATATTCCAAGTATAGATCATAAATACTGTATGAAGTAATTCTTGTGTCTGTTAGCATCCTTCCCACAAGGTATCTCCCTACATTTTTTTACAATAAAGGATGATAATAGCATAAGACAAAACATCAGCTTCAGGGCAGTGGCTCTGCCTGCACAGTGATTGAACTTTGTTTTGGTCTGAGATGAAGACAGACATTCAGTTCCAAGCTTTGCATTTTCCTCATGCTTATGGCCTATCCATATGGCAGATAATTGTAGTTTTAAAAATACGTATCCACTTTCCTGTCCAACTTCACAATAAATCTTCGAGTCCTGATGGGCTTTTAAAAGTGGAAGAGATCAAATATGTACAAAATATTTCAACATACCAAGTGTGGGAGGGTGTCAAGTCTGTAGCATTAGTGCTGATCAGTGATTCAATTAGTGTAAAGTGTATTTGCAAACACTTGCTGCCTGCAAGAGATGGATTGATGGTCCCAGACTCTGGGAATAAGAGATGGGGCGTAATAATAATCACAAATATTTTCACGTCCAGTAGATGGGAGATGGAATAGTTGCCTTCCTAGTAATCTCTCATATGCACAGAGGTGTTAAAGTCTTTATAAATAACATGCTTGGCTTTCAACCCCCAAACTGGCCTGGGTGGTGAATGCAAACACTTGGAAATAACATGACTTTTGCCAATAAGGGGGCAGTGAAAGAGTGAGAGAGAACTAAAGCAGGAGGACTAGATAAGGAAGAAAATTTTTTTCGCTTGGGAGATTTAAGTGAGAAGGAGAGGAAACGGAGTCAGTGAGGGTGAGTGCATTGTCCAAATCTACGTGGACAGGCCCTTTCATCATGACAGGGATGCTAACGCTGGGAGCCAGAGAAAACCGTATGCTGGAGGGGGGAGGTTTGCATGATGCTGTGCCTCTGATGTTCTTGGTTGATGCTGATAATGGAGTAAGTAAAATCTATTGTATTGGACCAGGTACTTCTGTGGCTTTGCAAATCCAGGGCTGTGTTGTTGGCTTTCTGGCAGTTGAAGCACTTGTTGGCTGACTTTCTGCTGGATGAGTGCCATTCTGCTCCCAGCTGGCTGGTAGACGCAAGTGTTGACTTGTCTAGTAGCATGTTCTTTGGCAATGAAGAACACGGTAAACGGTTTTGGCTGGGACTTGGGTACAACTAGTTGTGTCCTGAGGTGATGCTGAAGTAGGGTGGCTGCAGTATTGAGCTCGTTGTGGCTGGAACAGAGTTAATTTTCTTTACAGTAGCTGGTTTGGGGCTATGTGTTGAATTTGTGCTGGAAACAGTGTTGATAATGGAGGGGTATTTCAGTTACTGTTGAGCAGGGCTTACACAGAGTCAAGGCCTTTTCTGCTCCTTGCCCCACCCCACCAGTGAGTGGGCTGGGGGTGCATAAGGAGCTGGGAGGGAACACAGCTGGGACAGCTGACCCCAGGGATATTCCATACCATGTGATGTCATGCTCAGCCTATACAGCTGGGGGAAGAAGGAGACAGGAGGATGTGCAGAATGATGGCGTTTGTCTTCCCAAGTAACCGTTATGCGTGATGGAGCCCTGCTTTCCTGGGGATGGCTGAATGCCCCGCTGCCAATGGGAAGTAGTGCATGAATTCTTTGTTTTGCTTTGCTTGTGTTCTTGCTAGGCTTTTGCTTTCCCTGTTAAACTGTCTTTATCTCAGCCCACGAGTTTTCTCACTTTTACTCTTCTGATTCTCTCCTCCGTCGCACTAGGGGGGGGAGTGAGCGAGTGGCTGTGTGAGGCTTAGTTGCTGGTAGGGTTAAACCACAACTATGTACAGAAACAGAAGAGTGGGACAAAAATGAGTAATTTTCCCTTGCTGTCCCCATCTTATTCCACGAAATCCAGTTCTGTAACCAGTTTTCCGTGTCTTCAGTAGGTTCTAGCAGGCTGGGCTGCAAGAGCAAGAAGGCAGGATGTTGTCGAGACCAAAGCCTGGGGAGTCTGAGGCAGACCTGCTGCACTTTCAAAACCAGTTCCTGGCAGCCAGAGCTTCACCTGCAGTCAAGATTGTGAAGAAAGCAGACAAGAGGAAGGGGGAGGAAGAGAGCACAGATGCTGAGAGACCCCCGCTGCAGGACAGCAAGGATGTAGTCATGTTGGATGGTAATTTCCCTTGTGGGCTTCTTTGAATTACTAGGATTCTCTGTCCCTCTCAGTGTTCTTCAGTGCTTGCCTTTTTACCTCCCTCTCAACTCTATGTTGCTTTTGCCCTGCATGTGTGTCCTCCTTGCAGTATTGTTTGTTCTTAGCTTTGTTGGAAAGTGCTCTTGTCCAATACTAGCATCCAGTAGAACCACCTTTCCAACACATTCCCTTTGTCTACATTTATCAGCTGTCTGTGGTACCTTTCCAGCCTCAACCCAAGCAGTGTTTTCTGTGATTTGTACCCGTTGGACACTCACTGCTTATTTTGCTATCCATCCAGAGCCTGTTCGCAGTGTCTTTGACGTTTAGCTCTGCTAGTAACTCCAGCTTTTAGCCAGCAGATCTGGCCTGATAAGCCTCCTTCCTGCAGTTTTGTTTTCCTCCAACAGTAGTCACTGTAACCCTTCTGTCATGTGCTTAATAGACTCAGAAGCTCAAGGTGCTTTCTTAAAAGCAACAACTTAAATCTTGCAGTGCTTGGTTCCAGATACGGACATATGATCCCAGTTTATAGATAGTGAAAAGGAGGCCTTGACTTGCTTGTGATCATACAAATCACTCACTGTTAGAGCTGGCAGTGCAAATGTGCTTTTCTGTGCCTGAACACAACCTGCAAGGACACTATTTGTTTCTATACAGCCTTGCTTCTTTCCTTAATACTTGCAGTCAGGCCTCAGTACCCTTTCCTGCTTATGCAACTCTTTGTATTGGCACCAAGGTCTTTTCATAAATAATAAAATTCTTGGCCATGTTTCTCTCCACTGCCCAGTGCAAGTGAGAGACAGAGGGCTCTTAACTGTCTTATTGCTTCCTCATCTTGTCTCTCATCAGAGCAATAATAGGTGCTATTAGGGAGCCTTGGTCTGGTACCTATTGCACAGTAGTTATATATAAGTAACTTAACTGCTTTTTTTTTTTTTCTTCTTATTTCTCCACCCCAGATTTTCCTGATATTGTCCCAGCTCTAACTCCAGCTCCTCCAAAAAAGTCCAAGATCAAAAATGCTTGTGTCCACTTCGAAGATGAAGATCCAGAGGAAAGACTAGAGAGGCATGATCAACACATTACAGCAGTCTTCAGCAAAATTATTGTATGTCTGTTTTTTATGTGATGGTCTAGTGTTTTCTGAATGCTGTGAACTACGCAGCGGACAGACATGAAGGGTTTTGTTGCTGCTTTTTATTTCCACAGTGTAATGAAGCAGTTGTAGCACTGTAGACCAGTGTCCTGGAGCACCTTGAAAGAAAAAGCAATTTCAGTATATTTTTGCTATCAGTTAAATACGGGTTTAAATTTGCTTTCCAGTCCAGACAGCCTATAGGTCACACTGCTTGCATGCAAGCGTGTGCTTTAGTGTGAATTTGGGTGAGTTTCTGGACTCTCTAAGGGGGATGTTCTCATTGCTGTGCGCTGGCCCAGGTTTTCCTTTATCTGATTCTTTGATTGGTATGTGGAGTTTGGCAGCCCAGCCTTTTGGAGAATAGCCTCACTTTGGCTCTAAATAAGCACAAGGTATTCTGAGCCTGACAGTGATGTTGCAGAAAGCTTGTGAGCTGCAGACCTGAGAGATTTTTGAGTCCACTCTTAGCTAAATGATAAAGTCTAGCGGCGGCAATGGTTTCTACAGGGTTTGAATTTTTTTGCTGCAGGAACGAGACACGAGTGCAGTAGCAGTGACCATGCCAGTGCCCACAGGAGACCCGTTTCCAAGGACATTTCACCGCTCTGAGATAAAAAGTGAGGTAAGATTAGGAGCATCTGTATTAGGCTACTTTCATTAATGATTAAAACTTCTCCACAACAAAACCTAACGCTTGGTGGGTGTTAGGGCTCAAAATAAGTGACGTGGCGCACTGGAGATTATGAGCTAACTCAACATATCTCTGGCACTGCCACCTTAGTGTAGGAGAGAGTTCTACCAAGCTGCCGTCAAGTAGGCACTCTGTACCATACTATTAAATAACATTGGAATCCTTTCAGTTTAGGAAAAAGGCAATCCCCTTCAGTTAACTTTAGTGAGGTGGATCAAATCTGCGCTGCTGTAATAGAATTGAACCTGTTTTGCTTGTTTTTGTCTGAGGAACAATGTCCATTAATTTGTCCACCAGGTTTGATAAAGTCTATACTTACTGAAGTTGCAACTGGTTTCTCCTGGCATGACATTTGAGTATGGCTGCATAGATTATCTTCTGCAGCTTTTTGGTTTTTGACGTAATTTTTTTTCTGAGACTGTAAAACTGGAAGCTGTGGCTGCTTTCAGCAGTCATTGCTGTAGTACCAAGAGCTGCTGGCTGAGTGGGAGTCAGATGCTGGGGATTGATAAGTGATTGATAGCTGTGGTTGCTTTGAAGAGGTAGCTTATTTTGAAGGACAGCTTTTTTGAAAGGAAAGAGTAATACTTTTTAAAATACCAGTTCTTTTTAGCTGATGCAGGACTGTGCAAAGCAGCTACCAAATGTTCAGACTGCCTTTTAATCTTCTTCTCTGGACTGGGGGCATGCAAGAGTTTTTTTGCTTAGTCTGCTTTGGATTTCCTGTGTATCCTGTGCCAGGCTGTTCAGAGCCATGCTCTTCCATTGCATAGGCAAGCAGCACAGTAATTTAGTCAGGATTATTTTAGCACCACTTGCCCACTTCTTACTGTGTAAATCTCTTCACCCTGCTACTCTCTAATCGCCTTATAAGAAGCCTGTTCCAAGCATGTGGTGAGCACAGTGCAGTACAGCCCCATTTATCCTCAGAAATGCAAAGTATTCAGCTATGCAGAGTTTCCAAACAGCAGGAAAGCTGGAACTGTTGTGTTTGGTGATATTTTAGGTGTACTTGCCTAGCTTGAATTCACTTATAATTAATCATCTTCATTCTTTAGGTAGTAAAAATGTTCATGTTTTTGTCTCTCTGTCCCAGCATTAAACTGTGTGTTAAAAAAAGAATAGCGCACACACAGAAAAGGGCAGGTGGCTGCCAGCAGCTTCTATGTGTCATGTCCCAAAGCCTGATCTGAGAGTGTCTTTAGGATCAGATCTATACACTTGTTAGTGGCAGGTGTGCGGGGGAGTCTGAAGAGGAAAGTGGTGACACATAGCTTCCCTGTTTGCAGGTGAAGGTGGGATCTGGAAGAAAAAGCATCTTTGCACAGAAGATGGCAGCGAGAAGAGCTGCTGAGAAAGCAGCAACAGCTCCCTCCGCTGTCGAGTGTCTGCAAATAAGATCAACTGCTCCGGAGGCCCTGGATCCTGAGGAATCAGCAGGAGAGGCACCTCTCCCCAGCATCAGGGATGGTAAGTGGAGAAGGTTCTGCTTATCCAGCCTACCGTATTTACATAGCTTTAGTAACTATAACATCAGTGCACCTTATTTTTAAATTAGGGTAGCACTGTTGTCCTCAGTTTAGGAGTCTCAAGGTCACTTGGAATGTCTGTGGTGTGACAGGGATTTTTGGGTCTGGGACCCAAATTAACATTCTGAAAATTGGGTTAGCTTTCTCACTGATTTGCTTTTTGCTTCATACAGGCCCAAATTAGATCTATTTTTCAAGGTTCTTGTCCTCCTTTTTCTCTCTGTTTTGTTATATGTAAAGTTTTTCTTGTTTCATCGTTGATGTCCACCATTTTAGGAAGAGAGTTCTTCTTGTGTGTGATGAAGGTGTTTGAGACCACTGTGATGCAGGTTCTCTCACCTACCTATAAGCTGAAAGCTCAGTCTTCTGTCACCAGATCCGCTGCCACGAGACTGTGACTTTGCTCCATAAGGAATGCTGTGAGGCAGTGCTGATGAGTCAGTGCCACCTCTGGCAGTTACTTGTCTGACAGCAACGGCAAGGAAAGATGAAACCAATTCAACTGGTACCAACGTCTCCAGGCTTTTTTGTTTTTATTTGCCCTCCCACCCCCCTTGGGCAGTCCTGTTTGCTTAGGACCACCACATGTTTGGATTATTCCCCAACACCCTCTTTTTTACATTCAAATAGAAGCCAGATGTCATTTGAGGGTTATCGCCACTTGGCTAAGGTTTCTGTGTGCCCTGACCCTGTCAGAGAATTGGTAAGAGAACCCCCAGATGTGCTGTGCGTACACAAATCCACCATCCAGCTCAATGTACTGTCCTCACTGTATATCCTGTTACAATTGTGCCTGTGTGTTTCTGTCTGAGAAATCTCAAAGGCAAGCACAGCAGCCCTATAGCTGTGATCCTCTGGAAGTAGGACACTTCTGAAATGTAGTAGCACAACAGAGGGACCAAAAAATGACTTGACCTCCTTAGCAAGACTGTTGTGGCAGGATGACTAGAAGCAAGAGGAGAAGCAGGGGAACTCCATTTCTTGTAGTAACAACGTGTTTGTGCCTGGTAACCCTTGGCTTCCTTGCTTTTGGTGGGAAGCTTACTGAATCTTTTACCAGGTCACTCTATCTTCTCATCTCTTTCTGTTCAATATGCAAGATAACTACTGTGGAAATGACATCAGACCTTACTGATGTTATGATAAGTGTCATTACTGCTGGTTGAACAGGGGTTTGATGCTTTCAGGGTTGGCTGGTTTAGGGTCATAGAGGTGTTCCAAGTCACTATATAGAGCATATGAACAAAACATAAGGAATAAAGCTGCTAAGTCAGGTCCTTTTATAGTGGGCAGCAGGACAGCTGGAGGGTCTCACTCTGACCGAAGCAGCATGTTACCCTGCTGCTAGAGTTAAGTGATGTCACCCTTTAAAAAGGTTTTAGATCAGGTGATAAAGGAGACTTGATTTTGTTCAGGGTAGGAAAAATACCCTGCTGTTGGAACTTCTAATATGTTTAACCCTTGAAGGTGAATACAGGCCTGTGTTGAGAATGGATCCTGTATCACTCCAGAAACTCATTTACCTAATAATTTTAATTCTCTGTCTCACTCAGCAGATATTTACTAGGTCATGATTCAGCTGACACACAAATGTGGGTTCAGGTGTTCTTGGGCGGAGAAAGAATCTAGTATTCACTAACTTGAAAGAATGCTCTGACTTGTCAATTGTGAGTTAGGCTCTAGTTTACCTTTTCTTGCTGTTGTTTTGCATTAAAGAAGCAAAATTCCTTTCCCCTTATCCTTCCCCAAATTCATAAAGAAACAAGGTGGAAATGATGTTTAGTTGTGACATGGGATGAAAACCAAATATTTTAGTTTTGTTTGAAGCTAAAATGAACTTATTTACTCCTATTTTAACTTGGCTACCAATGTAAAGAAAAAAACAAAGAAACAAAAACCAAATTATGCAAGCCTGGTAATGACAAAAATTGAGATGCATTCATAATACTGTAGACACTTAAATCACTAACTGCTTTCTCTAATGGATCTTATAGATAAAGCTGGTGACTTTTTCACCTCTCAGCGGCCTTGTCTCATAACGGGAGAGGGTCTTGGAAACCAAAAGAGTGAGCAGGAAGCTCAAGCTATTCACAAAGAGAACTTGGAGAAGCTGCGGTCCATGTCTGAGGAAGAGATCCTGCAGGAGCAGGAAAGGCTTCTGACTCAGTTGGGTATGTGCTTCCCGGGGTGAATTCTAGAGATGTGGAAGTTTACTGAATGTGTAGGTGTCCTGAAGTCTTACCAAATTCACAGATCAAAGATAGAAGCTTGGGACTCCTGCTCGTTGCGTATGTGGGTAACCTAGCTTCCATGTCATGTCAGTAGCTTATGAGTAAGAATTAAGTGTGAAAGAATTAAAGAGCACTTATTCCTCAGTGAGAGAGGACTTGGCTTAAGTCCCTGTCACCTCCCTTTTGCTGTGGGATAAGATGGTCCATGCACTCTGTTAGTTTGCACACCAAATACCTGCTTACATATACATGTATTTAGGTCCTAAAATGTAATTCTCCAAAGCAGATAGGAAAGCAAAGCTATTCTTAGGATGGCTGTAGCAATGCGGAGATGAGAGGGAGCCCTTGGTCTTCACCTCCACAATACTTAAGACTTGGTCCAGAACTGTCCTTTCCTCGATAGGGGAAACGTGTGGGCATGTGGGAGATTTCAGTTCAAATCTGTACTTGGTAGAGCAGAAAAACTTACAACTAGTCTTGAACTTCTTGAAAAAGTGTTATAATTATCTGGCTGTTGGGTGCAGATGTTCTGGCAAGGGTCTCATCTCTTGTTTGGAGCCCTCTCTGCAGTAGTGCTCTGGGAATGCCTGTCACTAACAGCTGATGACAAGATGGGAGAGAACACTGAGTGTGGTATGTTTGATAACACTTTGTGTGATCTAGGGCACTGTAAAGCTTGTTGGCGTTGGTTTCAGTGATTTTATACGCTCAAAAAGAGCAGATGTACAGATGTAGGTGGCAGACAAGGGTTTTTGAAATTCTCATCATTTCAGATTCTCTAGCATCAAACTTAGGTGTGAGTGGCATTTTGGATGCATAAGTCTCTTGTGGATTTAGCTTAAAGATCACATTAATGGTCTTGACTTCATTGGAAGCAGCATGGGTATAATCGGAAAGGTGGCAAAAGAACTGTACAAAATAATTGCAGAGAGTATGTTTAGGTACATCCTTCATTTGGAGAGCTGACCTCTCCAAACTACCCGAGGTGAAAAAAAAATATCTCTTTTTTAAACTTCACTGCTTATGACAATGCAATGTGTATGAAAAATATCTTGTTTATGCACTTTCTTCTTGTGACAGTTTTGTGATCTTTGCTCCACCACTCCATCCTTTGGGATATTAGTGAATACTTAGGGAATTTAAAAAGGATTGGATGTATTTCAAGTATTTTTGATCAATAAATTATTTTCTAAAACAATTTATTTGTTTATATGCCCTGTGGGTTAAAACTGTAAATCTTTCAGTCTTTGAGGCCTTAAGGAAACTGGGAGTGAATTTGGCATTCTCAAAATATCTGTGGTTAGGGAATTATGCATGATGAAGCAACACTTAAACTAAACTGCTAACTTACAGATGAACTTGTGAACTGGACAGGTGCAGAGATGTGGATTAAAGAGGCTTTTTCTCCATATTCAGGAGTGTGAATAATTTGTGGGTGTTTAATCCTGCCCAGTCTCCGAATTAACCTCTTAGTTAGGAAGTAGATGAGACTCTGTAGTGTGGAGTATGAGGATGGGTAGGCAATTCCGTGCTGGGCAATGTCTTCAGGGTCGTCTTGTTGATACGGTTCTGGTTTTGCCCACGATGACTCTGGGCAGAATTAGACTTACTCTCTGACATACTGTGCACAGATTGACATAATCAGTGACTTGTTTGTCACTGTTTGTGTGAAATGATAAAATAATGAGTACAGTCTTTTCCTTGCTGTGTACAGTGAAGTGTGACAAAGCGAGAGCTGTGCTTGCATTCAGGAAAAAATACGCATGCTTTAATGAGACTGGACTGAATGCCTCTCCTTCACCAAAGGAGGTTTAAGCTGCATCGTGAGGAGAGTGTGCAGCAATCACAAGTGTGGGATAGATACCTGCATCCTCTTTGAACTGCTTCAGAGACATGGAAGTCTTTCCCTTTTTGGGATGACTTCTCTCAGGTACAGAGCATTTCTGAATTGCTTGTCTTTTTTCCTCCAAAGAATAAATAACCAATGTAGGTGTTACATTCTGTTAGTTTTTACATCTCTGACACTGCTTGTTGGAGTATCTCTGTACCTTTTACAGGCACACTGCACAGGCTCTTACTGTTCATCACTGTCATAAGCATCCCAACAGTATCTTCTAGATGAAGAGTATTCAGAGAGAAAGTGCACTCCATCAAAGTGATGTGAGAGATCTGTAGCAGATCTGAAAGTAAAATGATGATCTTCTGACATTTTCCTATTTTAGAGCCATAGGCATATTTTCTGTCCTTCAAAACACCCCTGCCTCCCAAATGTTCCTCCTCTTCTCCAAAGCATGAAGAGAATGGCCATGTCTGTTTCCTGGATGTTGTCAGACCATAATTGACTCTCAGGATGGGGTCAGTTCAGAACAAACAAGATCTCCTTCTCCTAACATAATAACTAGACCATGCATTGCAGCTCTAGTGCAATTCAATAAAGAGCAGGTAATTCTTTTTATGGTGTCTGTTCTGTGTATTCTTGTAGCATTCAGATTGATGCTACTGAGCGGTCCACAGGCAGGGTAGGTGAACTGTTGGACCTGGATTCCTTCCATAAGTCACAGACCAGAATTCTCTCCACAATGAATAGTCTTGTTTGGATGTACCTTTTCAGCAGCAGTGAGGGGGAAAGAACCAATTATCTCTTTATTTGTAAGCTCGGAGAAGAACTAGAATTTTTTTGGTTGCTTTACCATGAAAGACATTTATCAACTCTTTCTCTGGTGTTGCTTCACTGGTCGGTTGTATCCAGCTTATGTGCTCAAGAGATCATAAAGCAGTTAAGTGCCTCAGTTTGAAAAGAAGTGACAGTTGGTACAGAAGGGAAGGGCACGTAGAATGGGAATGAAAAGGCTAAAACGTAAATAGCATGAGCTGTAGGCATATAAAGTATTTTGAGACTTTCTGTCACTTCTCTGTCTGTCTCCTTGTCAATACTTGCAGATTCCAGTTTAGTTGCTTTCTTAAAGTCACGACGTGGTGGCAACGAAGGCCAGAAAAAGGAATTAAAAATGGAGCAGAACACACCAGAGGAGTTTGTGGGATCTCTGCCTGTGGCTCAGCGTGGTGTAAGGTCATCTCTTTCTATGCAGGAGTCAGATCTGGAAGAATCTGTAAGGTCGAAAGAAAATATGAAGGTAGAAATCACAGGTAAGAAACAAACTGCATGTTAATGTTCTGAACATAAATGTAAGGGTTGTATGGTGTTTGCATCAATCCAGATTGGGTTGATGTGGCACTTTGTTAGTTATACAACTCAGGATTTTATAATGATATTTAAAAAAAAAAATACATATTTTGAGTTCAAGAATGTCTGTTATTTCTAGCTGGGCGCCACAGATTAGAAGGGTGATACACTGTGTAACAGAGGTGAGCTATTCAGTGAGAGGTTTTTGGTTTTGAAATTTGTTCTGAGGTCTCTGAAGGGAAAATGTGTTTTTAAACTAGGCATCATTGCTCTTCTGTTCAGCTGTGTGGACAGGGAAACAGAAGATTGTGGTAGTGAGATTCAGCTACTGCTTGAATAATTTCCTTTAACTGGGACTACCTGGGGACAAGAGGGTGTTTAGAAGCTAAGAGTTAGTGATTTGCTCACAGGATAGCATGGAGATAACAGTCAATCTCACTTCAGGGAAATTGTTCATATAGTGCATGCATGTCTTATCATGACACTGTTCCTGATGGACCCACTCTGTGGCTTGTATGTCAGAGCCCACACGGTGATTTCCACAGGATATGGTTCTTTTCTTTGTGCTGTGGATGGAGGGAAGTATTAAGGTATAGAATGTTCTGCTTCTTTGGAAGAATTGTACAGAGCTCTTACCTCTTACTTTGTAATGCTCAATCTATGCCTGTGTGAGGAGAAAGCTGCCTTGTCCCCAGCAGCTAGAGCAATCCATATATTCTCATGGCAGAGAAAAGTGTTTTCCCCTTAAGCTTCTGCTCTTATTGTTGCTTTCCTCACTGCAGTTTTTTTCTTTATCCATTTCTTTTTCTCTGTTATGATTTTAGGCTCCCATTCTCACCTTCCCCACACTTTTGCTCATAGCATGTCTCTCCCTTGTTAACATGTTTCTCCCCCAATTTCATGTCAATTTTTGTCTGTCTCCATCTCTTGATCCTCTCTTCTGATGCATTCTTTGTGTCCCAGTGCAACGTGCAGACTGATTGAAGAGGTCTCTGAATCACTCCTGGCTTTCAGCTTGGTGTTTGCAAGAGATAACAACCATTTACCATTTTCTTGATGGGAGGGATGAGTCTGTGAGTGTGTGTGTGTGTGTACATGGGCAGAAGAAGGAAAGCTGATTAGCCTCTTATTGAGAAAAACACTTCACTGAACAGTCCTTTTGCTGTTTCTCCCTAAGTTTTACTTTTCCATGAATCCATCTTAATCAAAAGGACTTATTTTTCTTTCTTTTTAGTTGCAGAACAATCGAGTGCACAAGTAGCACCAGGTTAAGTGGCATTCTTTTACTTGCCTGGGAGCCTGTAAAGGCTGAACAAGATTGTAGTAGTGCTCTTGGGAATAGCTCAGCGTTCAGAGCCTTGTGTGCTGACAGCATCTTTTGCTTCCTATGGAAGACTGCACAGGAAAGGAGAAGAGGAGTTTTCCCAGGTTATTTGAAATAACAAAGAAAGGATGAGCTGGACCACAGTTATAAAACCAAGGGAAGCCTTTCCAGTACCTGAATTTATACCTGCAGCCTATCTTGACCAGCAGGAGATGTAGAATATTAATTTGACATTAGCACTTAGTATTGGGATTTTGTATCTGTTTGTGCTCAGAAGTAAACTCATAATGAATAACCTAGCAGAAATGGTCATTCTGAATTTCCCCAGAGACATGATGATGATACAAAGCAATGGGATTGCTCAAAAGTCAAGTTTGCCTCCTTAATGAGGTAAAAGGCTACTGTTTCTAATAAACAAGATGGCGAAGCCTTTATCCAGCAACTTGTAATCTTATAAAATGGAAAAGTAGATTCTGGCACCGAGACAAAACGGGAAGCAAAGCAGAAAGGGAAGAGGTTGGGTGGTAGTCTTTAATATAACCCAAGTCTGAAAAAGTTCAGTGCAAATATTGCATTCACACTGTCAACTTGTGTTTCTGTAAAGGGATTTCTCAGTAACTGAACAATCTGCTCATGTCTTGGGATACATATCCGTCTTTTCTTGTTGACAAGATCATAATACTAAGGGCTGGTGGTAATAGGCATAATCCTATTCATAAAACGATTAACTGAACTCTATCAACTTAGTCATTAATGGAGAAAACAATTTGTTGAATTACAAATGTCAATAGATTTCATTTTTCTGCTGATTTTTATTTCCTCTAGTTTTGCACCTACCACCCACAAACATTCATTCCACTTTCTTACATTTCAGATGCTTTTTCCTTCTCTTCAATTAAAATGTGTGCTGAGCCTTTGGCTGAAATTCTGTGGAACAGCTTTCTGGCTGAGGAAGATAACTCTTGGTTCCTTGCCTGACTCAATACCACATTGATCATAAGGGTGAAGCTTTGTCCTAGAAAGGATGAGTGCCCTTCCTGAAAGTTTATCTGCTAATTGGAGGAGAGTAAAAGGTTAGGTTTTTGAAAAGATCTGATGAAAGAAGAGCATCTCAGTGGGACTCATTCTTCCTTGCAAGAGAAGAGCAGAGCACTAATAGCTGCAATGCAAATGACTTCTGGGCTGCTTCAGCAGCAGTGATGCTGCTGCTTTTCATGCCCTCAGACTGCCTGTTCGTGTTCTTATGTGTGATTTCTCTTGAGATAGCAAAGACTTCTTAGCTCATCTTTTCTCATGCTGGTATGGGATGATAGTATCCTAGTAGCAAAGCATTACCTTTCCTAGTGTTCAGATCATTTCCGGTTACATCTCTTCTGTCCCTTCAATTGGGAGATTCTTCCACATGCTGATCTGTCTCTTTCCTAGGGCAACTCTTGTGATGTCAGGTGTAAATGTCTTATTTCTCAAATTCTTCTAGTCGAAGCTCTTTATAAAAAGTTAAATCAGTAATTTCTTCCTTTAGTACTTGCACCTCTGAAATTCTTGTTCAACTGTCCAGTTTTCCCACTGAGCTGTTTCTCAGGCAAGCTGTGTAAATTTTCAGCTGTTTTGATCTTTTCTTTCCAAGCTGATCCCATCAAGCCTTTAGAGGGGGACGCAGAATGAAGAGCGGCATCGCAAATGCGACAAAAGCAGGAATAGTCGTGCTTGTGCTCTCTCCAGTGTATCTAGGCTGAAATCATACCAGCTTCCAATAATTTGCTTGGATCTCTCTGCATTAATACTTTTGAATCATTTCACATCTCCCCTAACGCCCCCCTCCTTGGGTGATACTAGTTTACTTTCTCAAAAGTAGGGCTGATACTATTTTTCTGCCCTGGTTCTGATCACTTTGCTTTGTGTCCTGACTTCTGTTCAACTTCTCCCAAATTAGCCTTGTCTGTGAATTTCATTACAGTGCTGTTTACTTCCTCTTCTAGCTCTCATGAAAGATGAAAACAGCTTTAAACCTTTGATGTTTATGCATCTGCCAACAGTCAATTTGAAAATTGTTTTCTTCATATTTTACATGAATCCTATATTTGATGCAATCTTTAAGCCAAATAGGTTGGCAAAGAGGGGAGTAGTATTTTCTTCATCCCTGCCTTGGAAAGTAAGACTACCATTTTTTTCCCCTCCCACAAAGATGATGATCTACCTGTGAAGCCCAGGAAGGAATGGATTCACATGGACAATGTGGAGTTTGAGAAGCTGGAATGGATGAAAGATTTGCCCTCACCCCGGCAGAAGAAAACCAGAAAGGTTTGAAAGCAGAAATGGATATTTTTCATGTTTGTCTGGGCCATGCTTCTCAGCAGTAACAGTTTTGAAGGCTTCAAAAACTAGTCCTCTGGTTGCTCAATCTGTAATATTTCACCAGGCTGAAAGATTCCCCAATTTCTTCGACAGGGTTGGATAATACATGGTCAATGCAGTCTGTAGTACTCAAGCGAGCTAGGAAGTGAGAGTGTACCAACTGTAATCTGGGATGAAACAGGTCTGAAAATTAAGAAAAACAGAAAGAAGGAAAGAGAGGAGTAAATTTTTTTTTATAGAATTTGAGGCCTGACCTGGGGAGTTTTTGAACTGTCACCTTCCAGCAGTTGATGTAAGAAGTGGTATTTTAAGCAGTCAATGGAGTGGAAGGCAATAGAAATAATATTTTTCTCCCTCCACCCTTTTGTTGTAGGGAATGCAAGCTCGATTCAGTTTAAAAGGAGAATTGATTCCTGCAGATGCTGATTTACCGACGCATCTAGGCCTGCATCACCATGGAGAAGAGGCAGAGGTAGGTGTAATATAGTAAAAGGGCACAGCCATTTCTTGTTTTCTGTATTTGATTTGGCAGATTCCTTTTATGTCAAGACATTTTAGTGACAAAAACCTTAGGAAAGTGCGGACAGGTGACTTTCTTTTGAAACAGGCTCCTGAAGAGAACTTGGGTCTGCATGTGTTAACTGCTTTACTTTCAGAAAACTCCATTAATGCTTTTTCTTTTTAATGCTGTTAAGGATCTGTGGTGTTGGAAAAAGGTGCACATACATCCTTTTCTTAAGAAGTTCTGTTTTCTCCTGTCCCATCAATGGTTAGAATCTCTTTTGCAATTGCCACAAAGCAGCAGGCAACATTGCATTGCAGTTTATCTCCTGTTATGTGCTATTTTACAGTTAATCTTATTTTAAGGGGCCTGTTTTTACCTGTAACTGAGGGGGTTTCTTTGTGTGTGTGGTTTTTGTTGTTGTTGTTTGTTTTTGGTTTTTTTCCTCCCCCAATTTAGAGGGCTGGTTATTCTCTCCAAGAGCTCTTTCATTTGTCTCGCAGCCAAGTTATTCAACAGAGGACACTGGCTCTACAGGTCCTAGGTCGTATTGTTCAAAAGGTAAGTCACTTCCCATGGAATTCTTCCACATAATTCAAGTTTCTGGTGGATCAGGGCCCAGGTGCTCTGGTACTGGTTATTTGCTTTCTACTATTCAGTGAAGGTGAGCAAAATCACCGGCAGGGCATTCTTTTTCACTGAGGATCTCCTTACTGTTAGAAGAGTTAAGTGTTGAGACATAACAAACTGAGTTTCAGGTTTCTCTGGAGGGAGACGCTTGGAAGTGTTGTTCGGTAGCAGTGCTGCAACTTCAGTTCTGTTGTTACTTTGGACACAAGTTATTTTTTTGGTTTTAGTTTTGGGACAAAACCTATCCTTGGCAATGACCCTTTCACTCCTGTTGTCTGAGCCAGCTTCATGATGCACTTTTTCTGTAGGAGGTGAGAATGAACCAGCCTACTCAGAGCGATGTGCATAAAGCAAGATGAATATTTACTTCTGTGCATATTTTCGCCTAACTCTTAGGGGAAGCACTAACCTTCCCTGCAATGGCAGTGGAGGCAGAGAAGAAGAAACAGTGTGGTTTTGAGACGAACAATGAGGCAGAACAGGGTGAAGTCAGAAGATGGGTCCAGACTTTAGAAAGAAATGTTTCCTGCATGAAGGAATGGGATCTGTGTGCCTCTGTAGAATGAAAGGAGAAAATAAAGGCAAAAAGAATCCTGCACACAGTTTAGCTGCTTTACAGTAGAAAAGGGAAGAGGGAAACACACAGAATGTTGAGATAAGAGAACTTTAACACTGGCTCTGTGTGGCATACATTTCAGGCCAGAGCTGGAGAGTTTGCTTCCTCCTTGAAGGGCAGTATTCTGCGTCTGCTGCTTGATGCTGGGTTTCTCTTCTTGCTGCGTTTCTCGCTGGATGATGCAGTGGATAACGTCATGGCAGCATCTGTTGGTGCTCTCCGGGCTCTGCTGGTGTCACTTGATGATGAGGTGAGACAACCACTAAGTGCCTGGGTTTGATTTCATGATGAGCTATTTACAGGAATCAGAATGAGAAGACAAGGTAAGTAGCTTGAAAAAAGGCTTACTGGATGGGTTAGCTTAATGGTCAGTAGAATACCATGGCTGTGCTTTAGGACAGACAAAGGAGTGTTTTATCCCAGTTTGAGAGATTTGGACATCTTTTCTCCTATTTGAATTAGCTCTGCCCCATGATTAAATTCAGCGCAGGCTGCTGAGGTTCTCTTCCTTTTGACATCTTTCCAATCTAAATCAGGCCACTACCAGTGTATGTGTACATTTTGGATTTTTCAGTGTGGCCTCTTATGTTGTTGGCTTCTTGTTTTGTAGTTTTTTCTACTTCTGAGCAGATTAAACATTCTCTCTACTTTCCCTTATGCCTCATAATGATGCTGTTTTCTTTTTCTCTCATTGTCCATTTTCTGCTGTTCTCAAGTGCTTTTCTTACACTGATAAACACCTAATTTCGCCATCTTATATGTCTGTTTTCCTCTTGATGCTTTTTCTCCTGTTAGAAGGTTGAAACTTCTTTCAGGTGTTCAGAAATAGTAGAACCCTGAGCAGTAAGATTAAGATGTCTTCCTGGTTGGACAGAAGCAGTCCGTTATAGGCAAAGCATGCTGTGGGCTGTGTTTCAGGTTCCTTCCGTGAGAGATGCTCCTATGTCAGACTGCAAAGGGGCTGGTGATAGAGAACAGTTGAGTAGATCTCAAGAAGCTCCCTACAACTTCTCCCAGGCCTTTAGAGCTATTCCTAGTCGGGGGGCAAGAGAAATGAAGGACTAGGTAGCTTTCTTCACATCTTGCTCCTTTTCTAAGCTATGAGCCTAATGGTGTTCTGCTAGATGGGTCCTGCCCACCCATGGTAGGTAATTAATGCTACGAATCAGCTTCTTAATGTGCTTTTCTTTCTTCTGATATTACTCTGGTTTATAACTGTCTGCAGTGCTCTGATTCTCAAGTGAAAGCTTGTGGCATGATGTCTTGTATAAGCGAGGATTGCTGACTGTCTCGATGCCAAAAGCAGCAGTGAGTGGTGTGTCAGTGTATTTTCTCATTTGGAGAGTACTTCCCAGAGTCTCGTGGTGCTGAGTTTCAGAAGGTCTCTGAGGAAGGGACAGGGCTGGAAAGTCTGGCCTTTTGCTCTGGGATTTGTAAGACGAACAGGATTTGTCCCCACTATAAACACAAAAGATCAACACACATAAAAATCATGCTGTCTGGAGGTTTTGTTCATTCTTGTGACTGGGAAGGAAGCATCTTTCTCTTTGTTTCTTTTGAAGACCCAGATACTTGTGCTTTTCCTCCTCTTGATGAAAGGAAGGCTATAGTCCCAAAATCTGTATTGCAGATGAACTCATAGCTTCAACCCCTGAAGTCAGGCTTCTTCTGACCATGTCATCCACTCACTTACCAACTTTGTGTAAATTTTTTTTTTAATGTTTGATAGTACTTCCACTTCCTTGGCACTTGCGTTTGAAATTTTTCAAAACAGCTCAGGGTTTAGTTGAAGTCTATCACTTCTTTTCTGACTAATATGGTAATTACTTCTGATTGCCAGTTCAGGAAATGGAAATTTAAAGCAGTTATTAAGTAGTGCAAGTGTTCAATTTGACTGTCTTTTATATTCTAAAACGTTTGGGGAAAGTAAGTCTGCTATGGGAGCAATCCCCTCTCTGAAGTGATGAAAGCTCACCTATTGCAGTATTGCCCTAGAACTTGAGAGTATCTGTCACTGTCATTAGCCGTGAACAAAAAGGGGATTTTTATTTGCTGAAGCTGAGAAGTGTTCAAACAAAAGCCAAACACACCAGGCAGTCTTTATTTTAACATACCAAATTTTACATGACCATTCTATATTTGTGACCCAAGTTCCACACGGGTCCAGAAATGGGAATAGAGCCAATAAATGCCAAATTCCAGTTTAACTTCTAGAGCCTCGGAGGTTTGTTTATTTTTATCTTAAACGCTTTTCAGTTAAGCTGCATTTCTGTAACCTGTGTAGTGAATTTAATTCACCTCCAATAATTCCTTTTCATGGTTTCCCAGGTGTCTGTGGGTCACAGGTTAAAACTGGTTTCCTGAAAAAGCATTGCATTCTACTTGTACATGTTTAGAGTACCCTTTATTGTGTTCATGTTTTCCTGGGGTTAGGTGGGAATCAATAAGGCTTTCTGTAATCAAAAGCATCCTTGAAAATTTTTTTGTCTTACATAATTTCTTTGTGAGAATTTTCTTTTATGTGCTTTTATTCTCCTTAGAAATATCTTGATTGGACTTTCTCATGGTACCAAGGGATGGCTTCATTCCCCTTTGTCCCCAACAATGAGGAGGAAGAAGAGGAGGAAGAGGAAGAATTAAATGGAACGGAGAAGTCTCAAGATAAAAAATTAAAGGATGAAAACAAGCCAGATCCAGATGTGGCCCGGTATGATGTTGTAAAGGTAAGCACAGAGCTAGACCTGAAATCTTTTTAGGAAAATAGGCTCTACGCAGTGGCTGTGTGTGCTGTTGAAACGTCTGCCTTCCTGTGTATGCTATTAAGAACATACTGAGCAAGAATTAGAACTCTATCCTGGCTGGTGGATGTTTATGTTTCTGTCATATATTAGCAGGAGGGTAATTTTATTGATCTCTAAAAATACTGAGACTTGACCTGTGTGATTTCAGTATCATTAAGTGTCTCTAACTTCCTCTAGGGAAACTGGCAACAAGCACACCGTTGATCTTGTAAGACTTGCTGAAAGACTGCATACAGAGATGATTTTCAAGCTCGCTCACTTGAACTAGAAGTGAAAAAGTTCCAGCCGTTATTAAAGTGTCTGTATGCACTTTTGTGAACTTAAACATAAGCATTACAGCTAGATAGTTCAGAACTAGTTAGATTTGTACAATGGTGTTCTTCTTGTATTTGACACAAGGTGTCTACTTAGCATTTCCCCAATTTCATTCTTCATATTTGCATTTCTCAGATAAAGAGTTACAACATTTGAATTTCTCACATATTTAAGACTAATTTCGCATTCCTGGTACGAGATCTAAAAATGGCAATCTAATCTTTGTCTCAAACTCAGCCTTGGTGGAGCTGATGCAACTCTCTTGCCTGCTGCAATCATTGAAACCTGTGATCACATCACTTAGTTCATGTGCTTGAGCCTGTGTTCGAATGGTACTCGATTAAAAGCTTCACTGGGCAAATGAATTTGTAATTGGGCATCTGGTCTTGTTTAGAAGCTTCGTGATTTCAGATGCATTCTACTGGGTGACACTGTTTATAAAGCTTAACAAAAGACTTGTAGATAGAAGACATGAGATCAGTTTGTGATTCTGGAAACAGTTGTGTGGTTCAGCATAATGGATTTTAATTTGTTCCAAGTGGCCTGAACTCGGAAGATATTTGGGATAAAATTCTCCACTGTTCCAGTTGTGAAATGCAGTTTCACACCTGCCTATTGGCTGTTACAGCCCAGTTAGTCCATGCAGTTGGAAAAGGAGTATTTAAACTAGCAGCTGAACTCGGTCAGGCCTAGAACTACAACCTTGCTGTCTGCAACTTTTAAAAACTATTGGTACTACGAACTCGGGTGTTATGGAGTTGCCTTTTCCCAGAACTGGGAATGCATAACGCTGCATGAAATGATTCAAGGAGCATGAGAACCCTTTTTAGCCACATTAGGTTTTATTAGTGCTTTATAGGGAAGGTTATTTTCCTATTGCCTATTACAGTTTCATACTCTGGAAAACACAAGTATCCAAACCCCACCAGTGGTCTGATTCAGAGCAGAAGTTCAGTCGTTCCTGCTCTCTTGAGCTAACTCTTGCTCATTTGCTAGCGTACTGGCAAATCAGCAGAAACTGATTTCTTTGTTTCCCCACTGGTAATTTTAAAACTGTCTCTCTGCAGAAGATGTAATTGAATCTGCTTTTGTCTTCCAGCAACTGCATTTGAGAGCAATCGTTAAGAGCATAATGGAATTTTTTTTTCCTTTCAGGGACTTTTGAAGACACGGATCCAGCACCGGCTGAGGTACATCCTGGAGGTGGTACGACCTGTTCCAACAGTAGTCCTGGATATACTGCACATCCTCACCCATATAGCAAGGCACTCCTCTGAAGCATGCAGCCAGGTAAATCTCCCATTGTACAGGAGCTCAGGAATGGTAGAGAAAGGTTTGAAAAAGGGAAGAAAGAAACAGGTAAAGTTATGGCAAGGAGATCAGACAGCTTGTGTGTTTTGCGTGTCTTCTGCAGGTCTGCATAATTGTATACTGTTAGTTATTTGTGCTGCCTGCTATTTCTCTGCAGCTGCTTGACTGTCCTCGGTTGATTGAGACCATTGTCAGGGAATTTCTCCCTACGCAGTGGGATCCCCAAGTGGCTGAACCAGGGTGTTTACTCACCAGCCTCCACGGAGTTCCTTGCGCCACTGCTATGAAGTTCATCAGAGTGTTGGCATCTGGAGGCCGAAATGCAACAGCCAGGCTGGTGAGTGATTCTTAGGAGAGCTTTTCTGATTTCAGAGGCCTTTGTTCTCTATTCCTTACTTTCAGATTAAAGGTAGAGGATTAATTGGAGGTGACTGAGCTGAAGCTGAAATAATAATTGTGAAGAAGGTGCATATATGTGTTTAGAAGGAATTTTTGACAGCGTCATAATAATGTCATCTTTGCTGTGTACCAGTAGAAGAGCTGGCTAAACCTTTTCTCTGCTTCTTTTTGTTTGTTTGTTTTGCGTAGTGCATTTATGCAAAATCACATAGCACAGCTCAGTGATAGGGTCCAATAGCAGATGTTTAGAGCACACATTGGTGTGTGATGCTCTGTACAATCCCGTGTTCCAGTGATAGGCAGGTTAGGACTGTATAAACCAGAGATTTAATCACTATACTTGTGTTTTACAGCCCTCATTGAACTTTCCTACCATTAATTTGTCTTAATAACTCTGAGGTCATTCATCAGTATTTCCAGCTCCTCTTATCTACTTCTGGACAGGTTTTCCACTTCAGAGATAATTGCGTTCACTCATATAGTTCATCACGCTGGTGCTATAAATGCATAACATCTACCAAGAGCAGCACCCATTACAGTGCAATGAGCACTTCTTAGGGTTTTTAGTTCAGTATTGTTAACAGCATCTAATAAATTACCACCCAGAAAATCGCTAACATCAGCAGAACACCAGTCTGTGCTGTAAAATACATAGAATAATGTGCTGATAATGGATAGTGGGATATTTAAAGGCTGTAGGTGGTGCTAGGAACATAATAGAAAATCTCTGCATGTTACTCTATTTCAGGCTTTGTGTACTCCAGATGTTTCAAGGCATGCAAAAATTGCTTACAAGGTTCCTGCCGCTCAGGCTTTGGTTCTCTTGCACTCTCATAGGGCTTGTTACCAGCACTTAAACATGGGAATGGAAGATAATAAAAAGACTAAATTAAAATCATCAATGTAGGAATTTATTTTAGCTAATAACAAAATTCTTCCATCTTCCTCCTTTGGAAGTAAATTTGACTTTGCCCTCTGTTCTGTAGGAGGAGTGTCAGAATTCATAGTTTGATTCATCAGCTCCTTTGCTTTCTAGCTGGTGTGCATCGATTCCCCTACAAGATGTCTCTAAAGAATTTGAATTTTAAATTATCTATCATATGTCCTTGTGTTGTGGAAAAGACATTGTTATCTCATTTGTTTAGACAGAGCACACACAAGCTTTTCTATGTGTGGGAGAGG